AAATCAAATCAAACATTAGACTAAAAGTTATTCTAATTTGACAGTTTCCTTCCTGGTTCTGTTCTGCTTCTGTCTCGGTGTGCAAGTTATAACTTCATTTTTTACAAAGGTACATCTACAAGCGTGGCACGGTGTCTCGTTGGTAAAGCAGGGCCTTTCTGGGTGAGCTGCAAGCTCCCTCCGTGCACGAATGGGTTTTCTCTGGGTACTCCAGTTTCCTCCCATAAACCAAAAACAGGCATGTTAGGCTAATTGTTAACTCTAAATTGTACCTAGGTGTGAATGAGAGCATGAATGGCTGTTTGTCCTGTCTAGTCTCTATGTGGCCTTGTGATGGACTTGCAGCCTCTTGCACACACACAGTGACTGCTGGATATGGGCACCCATGACCCAAAAAAGAAGAAGCAGTAAAGGAAAGATGGATTGGTGGTCCTCTCCGCAGAATTGCAACCTTAACGTGGTGGAGGGGTTTGAGTGTCCCTGTGATCCTGGGGGCTGTTGACTGGGAGTTAGCCCCTTGAAGGGTATCCCATGTCAAATTAGCCTCAGGGGTGGGGTCAGACTAATAGCAATTCAAAAACTTTGATAAATGACAAAAGAAACATTGTTTTATTATACCAGGTTAAAAGGTACCAAGTAAATATCAAGTATCTTGTAATTAGGTGCCAGGTAAGTGCATGGTTTCAGTTCACTATCCACAATGTGGGCCTATCATATACAGTACAAATCACCTTTCCATCCACAGGCAAAGAAATGCAGCCTAACCCTGACTCCTCGTTAGTACAGTGGTCAGTATGCCCGCCTATCATGCGGGAGACCGGGGTTCGATTCCCCGACGAGGAAAATAACTGCAAAAGGAGGCTGAGATGGTGTAGAAGTAGGGCAGCTGACTTGGCAACAGAAAGTTGCAGGTTCAACTCTCTGCCATGCCCACGTCATGGTGTCCTTGAGCAAGACACAGAGTCCCTAATTGCTCTCCAGATGCTTACATAGCTACACAATGCTCCACCTGGGTGTATCTCATGTGGGATGGGTTAAATGCAGAGAACTAATTTCATTATTGTATGGGAACATACAATGTGACAACACTTCACTTTAATATGGGCTAAATTTAAAATAATAGGTAGGCTTACATATAAAGCAGTGGCATAATTAAGTAGATTAACTAATTTTGTCCTTACTAACCACAGTCTAAGAAACAACCTTTAGAGAAAAAGAACCACTAGCCAATATGAAATGGTAATATAATAATCACTCCTTCTTACCTATGGCCTAGCCTACATAAAGCAATTTGATCATCATCTATCATGTTTATTAGTAGCTTAAAATATCCAATTAAATCTCCTGTAGTGGGCTAAGTCTACTGTCAAATTACCCAGTTATACAGTCAAGAGACAAATGGGCAGCATTTAATAATAATAATAATAATAATAATTTATTTATAAAGCTCTTTTAAATAACCAGCTGCAACAAAATGCTGTACACATAAAATCATGACAAATTAAACACATTAAAAAAAAATTGTTAAAACAATATTATGAACTAGAAAGTTCCTGGAGAAAATTTGATGGGGTCTGCCAGGCTGCTGCCAATTTAAATTCTTGATTTTATAGTAAAATGTGTTTGGGTTCGCTCCCAGTTGCCATTATACCAAATTTCAAATGAATAGCTCTAAAAATGGCCAAGTTATGGTATGTTTTATTTTTTAGCTAAAGCGACCATCTTGGATTTTCGATTTTCAATCAGAGACTATTAGGGATCATTCGCAGCTACCAATTTGCCAACTTTCAGCTGAGTAGCTTCTATCTTTCAGTCAGGGTTATTGATTAATGCCAAACAAGTTATTAGTTATGATTCTTTTGAATCGCTGTCCCTCAGTCTTTCTCATCCAAAATGGAAATCAGAAAAGCCACTTTTACTAGTTGTTATCAAGGCCAGATTAACACTTCACTGTACCCTGGGCAACAATCATCAAGGGCCCCATCATCACGACCCCAGAATCACCATAATCTGGCAAAACACAGAATAAATTACCATAATATACAGTAAATATACTTAAAATTCTAACTATCAAGTGTATTTTTATATATAAAACTCCAAATGCTCATTGACACAAATCATCAAGACTGAATTAAATTGAACACACTTTGAACCCCACATATGTGTACTTTTTTAGTAACGTGTTGGCCACTGGTATCAGAAGCATTTATAATGTGTGTGTGGGGGGGACACACTGATGGGGGGGTCTGGGGGTCCTCCCCCAGAAAATTTTGAATAAAGTAGATGTCATTTCCTGCATCCTGGTGTATTTTAACGGTTGGTTAACATCTAGTTTTACCTACAAAGTAAACACTTGGAACACCTTGGGATTCCCCTGGAGGAGCTGGTCCAAGTGTCTGGGGAGAGGGAAATCTGGGCCTCCCTACTTAGGCTGCTACCCCCACGGATGGATGGAAGGAAACACTTGATTCAGTAACTATTTTAGAGCTAATGGCACAACAAGAAGGAACCTGACCAACAGCTGATTCAATGAATTAAAAATATTGTAAATTCAAAGGTGACGATTTGATGCCCACATTAAAATTAATTGCTGTAACTTAGTTGACTTCAAATGAAATAAGATGATCAATGAATGTTTGCGACAAAGGATTTACTGATTATAACAAAGATTCCTTCAAGAAACCTCCCAATATAAATCATAAAACCAGTATGACTTCTGCTCATTCTAAATTTGTCAAATGACCTAAATCTTCTAAAGTGAAGGAGAATCATCCATCCATCCATCCATCCATCCATCCATCCATCCATCCATCCATCCATCCATTTTCTTTACCCGCTTGTTCCATTTTGGGTCACGGGGGTCGCTGGTGCCCATGTCCAGCAGTCACTGTGCGAGGGGCGGGGTACACCCTGGACAGGTCGCAAGTCCATCACAGGGCCACATAGAGACAAACGAGACAAACAACCATTCACTCTCTCACTCACACCTAGGGACAATTTAGAGTTGAAGGAGAATCATTTTAAAATAATAAATAAGATATATCCTGCAGCCATGTTTCTGCAAAGAAGATTTAAATTTCATGTTGATTTGTGTGTCTGTTGTAAATCACTAGATGAATCCCTCGAGCAATTTTTTTTCATGTCAATACAAAGTGTTTGGTCAGACATCAGAAACTGGATTAATCTCAAACTTAACATTCCTTCTTTTCATGCTGATAACATTTTACTTTACGTGGATAACTTAAGCTCAGCTTTCTCTGATGCCATAAATATAGTCGTACTTATAGCAAAGCACCACATTCTCTGTAGTAAGAGGAGGGATAATAAATCTTCCTTCGTTTTTTATTAACGATTTTAAGTCATACTATTCTTCATTAAGTAGATTAAAAAAACTGCAAAACTGCTCAAATCATCTCACAACAGATACAAACTTATTGTTTTAATTAAAACCATGTTTCTCAAGAAAAAAAAACGTATGAGCTTGTCAGCAGGTAAGGGACGTTTACCTTCGGGACAAATTGAGGTCGTCGATTGGTCAGTTACTGACACGCCTTCTGGGTTGATTGACAGGTCGGGAGGATCCGATTGAAAAAAAAAAGCAAAAAGAAAGCTGCAGCAGCCGCTGGGAGGAGGCAGGGCTGTACACATGCAGTGGAAGTGTCTCTGTGCAGCGCAGGGCTCCAAGTAAAGCAGGAGATAACCAGATGTTTTGCTTGTGACCTCACTGCCCTGGGCCCCTTAGAGATCATGGGCCCCTTAGAGATCATGGGCCCCTTAGAGATCATGGGCCCCTGGGCAGTTGCCCATATGGTTAATCCGGCCTTGTACCGTCCACCAGGCGCTTACTCTCAGTTTTTGCCTGAATTCTCAGAATTCTTTACTGATTTACTATTAAATACTGATAAAATCATCATAATGGGTGATTTCAATATTCATGTAGATGTTGAAAGTGATAGCTTAAGCATAGCCTTTAATAATTTAATAGACTCATTTGGTTTTACCCAAAATGTCCGCACATCTACTCATTCTTATCATCACACTCTT